CGGGCGGGCCACTTGATTGGACCACCACGTCCAATCCACCGTCTAGGGTATGTCATATTTAAATAATCTCTTACTTGTCGAGCGAAATGTGCCGGAGCGCCGTCATGATGGAACCAAAGGCTCCTCCGCACATCCAGTGGTACTTCATCTAACAAGCTGTTCAAATTATTCATTAAAAAATTAAGGTAAGACTGGCCATCTAGTTTATTTGGTAACCTAAAAAGACCAATGAGCGTGTCGCCAATAATGCCAGCATGAACGTTAATTGAAAACTCATGATGAAAATTTGTTATTCGAATGACGTAAGGATTTTCGTTGCTCCACAAATGATTATTGCGGAAGTTATTGTTCTGTGAATAAGACATTCGCGGAAAAATTGGGATTCTCTGCAAGCCTGCCAAACAGCCATCGTGACCACTCTAGTCTTGGTGGGTAATCTTGAGGTAGTAAATGTTGAACACGTTGAAATTGATAAGGGTGCAATTGTTGTTCGCGAAGTGTTCTCCAAACAGATGACTGTGACATGTTTAAATTTCTAGAAATTTGTCGGATTTCCTCAGATTCCGGAGTTCTAGCATAACGCCGTCGTCCAGAATTAATTTTTATGGCAGGAAGCATTTATCTGTACCCCTTAACTGCATCGCGGGAAACAAAATTCGCTAGCCCATAACATAGATGCAAATCTGTCATCTCTTCAAATGAATATGCGTAATTCATACTGTTATTGAAAATATTGAAGTAGCTGAAGTAATTTAAATAACCGTAAAAATGACAAAATGAAGCTTATAAGCTAGTTTACTTAACTCACTTGTACACTTATTATTGACATTAGTGACAGCCGATGTTTAATTTTATTTTGAATAGTACAAGCCTACTACGCGAAACTAAAATGAATGAAAATAAAATTGAGTTCACAAATTTTCTACAAACGTGTTTTTCTTAAAAATGGTTGCTTTAATCAAAATTTTGCAAGAGACCAATTCGATAGACAATTGAACACACACGAAGATAGTGCCCTTTTGGCAAAATTAGCAGTGGCGCAGAAAATATTTTTAAAAAAGGGTACGACACTGCTGCTCATAAAATTTTGAGCAGTACATCAAACATTGGTCATAAGGTGCTAACTACGCATAGCAAATTTGAAATAGAAATGTTCAGGCATTTTGGAATTATTGCAGACAATGTTTAATTTTACAGAAACTTTGACGCCCTGTATCTCGTTAAGGAGGCATTTGCGACCCTATGTTTATTAA